TATATATATATATATATATATATATATATATATATATATATAATATCATATATATATAATATCATATATATATATATGATTTTTGTGGCCCTTAAAGCAATTTATTATAGCTTATGCTTTTGTGCCAGGAAACTCTATTGTTTGTCTTGCTGCTAAAAACTAACAGTGTTATCTCTCTGGAAACAGTTTTATTGTACTTATTATGACCTATTGTTCTGTGTTCCAAAATTCCTAAAACTATCAAAAGTTTTCCACATTATTATACACATGTAGTGAGATTTAATTATCTATTGCTTAGATTTATATTCTCTTTTTTTTCTAAGAGCTCAGGGTGGTTTACGTGGAAATCCTTTTACTGTTCATCCCTGCAAAACAGTTCCAAAAGATTGCTTGGGTTAACTGCCAGCCATTGACTTTCCAGGCTGAGGATGGGCTTGAAATTGAATGTCCTTAGCCTTACCTTCTATGTACCTTCTAGTATTTTTTTTTTGGGGGGGGGGGAGCAGAACACCACTAGTATCAAAAGTAATTTGAACTTCCTGTCAAAAGGTGAACCTCTCAAAAGAAGGGATTTATGACCTGGGTCATGAACAAATCACATTCAAATAATTTCAAAACTCAGGAGGCATGGATCTTTGTTGCAGTGTTATTATTGGGCTGGTGTGGTAGAAAGAAGTTGGGACTACAAGTATCAGAACTCTCAACTAGCTAGGTGGGAATTAGAGATTGTGATTCTGGCACTCTGGTTTCAGGAAGAAGATATCACTGAGTTCACTCTCCTTAGGCTGAAACTGGTAGTGAGCTAAACATTTACCCCACTGCTATGTGGACCTGGATACTATTGATAAGTGGGTTCAACAGGTTTTGGATGTTAGACATCCAAGAAATTGTAAAGTTCTAAGCTAGACTACTAAAGGCCATGAAAACTATCGAAATCAATTCAAGTGAAGGACATTTTAAATGCTCTTTAATTCCATTGAAGAAGTGGAGTTGATTTTCCTTCATTTATATCTGACCATTATTCAACCCTTCAGCAGTAAGAAGTTGCAGCCTCATGTTCTGATGGTCCAAATCTAGTGTTATTGGGTATGGCAACTGAGGCTTATGTATACAAGAGCACAAACAGGTGATTGTTAATTCCTCTGGGTATCTAGTTTTAACTGGGATTGGATTGCAGCCTAGGAGAAGGGTATTCCTGGTGGTGGGGGGAATCCTCCTCCATCAGTCTTTTATTCATGCTATTTTAAGTGCACGCGCACCCTTTGCTGTCTTTATGAACCCATCTTGCAAGGTGTTTTGCTTTAGCTGTCAAACTTTTAAAGGCTTCCCTCCTGTACCTTCCTCCCGTTTTCTTCCTGGTGCCCATTGATGGTGCATTGGCACACAACGGTTGCTCGGAATCTGCAGTGACTCCATGCGGTCATGAGGGGGAATGCCTCTCGCTTTCTCTTTTATGCGAGCGCGGGTGTCTCTTCCTGCTTGCCTGCTCCTCCTCACAAAAGGTTTGGGCGAATTCCTTTCTCCGGGTTTTCAAGCCATCTTTTAAAAAGTCATCCCGCTCTCTCGCGTTGAAAGCTGGAGCTGTGTCGGGAAGCGAGAGACGAGAGACAGAAGGAGGAAGCTTGCAGAGAGCAGGGGAAAGAGGGAAGGAGGGAGCGATTAGGGAAACAACCGATAAACGGGCGGCGGCGAAGGTGGCTGGGGACGCGGCGCAGCGGTCGCTTTCCAAAAGCGAAAGGATCCAGGCTGCGAAGAAGATCGCCATGGGGGAATAACGCGTCTGCCGATGTCGGCTGTTAGCAAGTGAAGGGCTTGGGAGAGGCGGTGGAAGGAGCCCCCGATCCCGCAGCCGGGTTGCAAAGAGCCCGGACAGCGGGGGCTCGCGGCTTGGACGGCTGTTGGGCTGGGAAGGAAGAAGCGGGCTGAGAAGCGGCGACATCCACACACAGTGTGCCGCTGCAGGCTTTGGTCATGCCCTTCGCCAAGAGGATCGTGAAGCCCCAGAGGCTGTGCCGGCGGCAGCACATCGCCTCGGTGCTAAACGAGAACGCCGGATTCGAGCTTCCTCAGCCAGCGAGCTACGGAGAAGAGCCCGGGGAGGCGATGGACGAGCCGGAGGAAGAGGTTCCGGCTGGGCTGGCTGCCGCGCTGCCCGCCGAGGGAAAGGAGAACCAGGAGACGGCGGCGCTGATGCTTTTGGATCTGTGCTCGGTCAGCAATGTGGCTCTCTCGCGGATCCTCCGGCAACTCTCCGATGTGGCCAAGCACGCCTGCACCCTTTTCCAAGAAATCGAGAGCGAGATCCAGCTCACTCACCGCAGGGTTCAGGCGCTGCACAGCCGGATTGGCGGCGTCCAAACCATTTTACACAGTTTGGATCCCAAGCAGGAGGCAGTGCGTAAGTGGAAGACGCCTTCCTATCCCTTCCTTCCCCTTGAGGCGACCTCGGTGCTGGTTCACCTTAACCTCCGCTCTTTTCGTATGGCTCTTAAGGGGAATCGGGCGCCTGGGAGGCAATCTGTGGATGGCTCTTGGCTCCCTTTTTTTCCTTCCCCTTTTCGGAGTGGGGAGTGGAAGCGAGATTTGCTCTGATGGGTGAGATGCTGGTGCCAGGCGAGGGAGGAAAAGGGGGCGCGGAAGATAAAATGGTGCTGCTTGGGCATCTCGGGGAGGTGTGGCCCTGAATCCCTAAACGCGGCTATTCCCGATGCCTCCCCCCCTCCAACGCCGCCCTTCTTTCTGCTGGAAAAGGATGCAGCTTAGGCAGACGAAAGTTTTTTCCCTCTGCGGGAAGTGCAGATGGGACAGATTCGCCGACGTGGGGGGTAAAGAAAGCGAAAGGTTCCGGGGCCGAGATGAACTGTGCGGAAAGTTGATTGGGGTGTGCACAGGCCTTTGATTTGAAGGAGCCATTTCTGTCAAAAAGGGCTTTAGGGTTGTTTTGGTTTCCCAAGCGATTGCCAGAGAAAACTCGGTGGGTGGCATGGAGGGTTCGCCCTTCAGGCGTTCCCCAGCCTTCCCACCTGCCTCCAGTCCGCATTCTTGAGCTTTTGGTTCCAGCGGAGAGAAAGAGCCGTTCCATGGGCTAGATTAGAAGGAGAACGAGTGATTTCCCCCCCTCCCCCCGTGAAAAACGGCGCGGCGATGCACGGGAGACGCCTAATGTTCTGGGAGGGGATCAATCGCTGATCTCATGCGGAAGAAGGTGAAGCGCGGGGGGCGGGGAGAGGAGAGACCAAGGAGTCCCCGGCTATAGCTGCAGGGAAAGGAACGGGGGGGGGGGATCGGGGGCAACCTGCATTCCGCCACCCTAGACTTCGCAGCGATCTGCCTGACCCACTTTTCCGCGGCTGAGACTGGGGAGTGAGCTGGGGGAGGCCCACATGGTGCATGCGTGAGAGAGGCGTGCGGCGCAAGATGGGGGTCTGCTCCCCCTCCCTCCCCTGAACCGACAAGGTGACCATTCTGCAGTGATAACAGACGAGCCTCCGTGTCTGCTGCTTCGCGTAGAAAGGGGTGGTGTTGCTAGCTGGTGATAGCGAAGCATCTAACGGAGGGTGCGGGGAAAGAAGGAAAACGTTTTAGCGCAGATTTTTCTCGCCTGTGCCTGCAAATGACTGGGTTTCCTAAACCCAAACCAGCACGCCCAGTCTCTGGAGGACACTGAGTTCCCCCGCCCTTGTCGGTGGCCACTGTAAGAGGCATTGCAAGCGGTCATCCGCCACTCATCTAATCCATCTGCACTGCTTTAAATTGAACTGTTGGATATAATCTGAAGGGATATACAGCATCCAAAAGCAAGCTATAAATAAGCAAACAAATACATTTTAGCTTTGGTTGAAAAATGTCAGATGGATGGTCAGGGCTGGATGGCTAGAATCTGTGGATCACACACTCAGGGATATGATGTAAAAATATCTAGGTTAAGTCTTAGCTCAGCATTCTGGAGTCTACTTTTCTATTGGTGAGAATTCTGAAAATCATACTCCAGCAACAAGGGGAGGCACCAGTTTTGAGGAAAGCTGGAAGGGTTTTTCTCTTCAGCAATATCAGCCTTCCCTGACATAACGTCTCTGGGTGTAAAAGGAAAAAAAATGATTCTATTAGTTGGAGAATAGGAAAGTTGTTGGCCAGCACATTTAGAAGCACTGGATTGGGGGAGTAATATTAGGGGTTTTATGGATATGTCTTGTCTTGCATGCAGTTCTCTCTCCCCCCCTCCCTCTCTCCAGTCCCTCAACAAAGGATGTTTATCCATCAAATCTTCACCCTCAAAGTTTATCCTTTGAAATTCTCAACTAATCTATGGTTAGTAGTCACCTAGAATGGATCATTCACTGATTTGGGGTGACTGGCTACAATTTAAATGAGTAAACACTGAGATTGAAATAGTTTTTTTTTAATGAAGCTAGTGTTTTTTAGATATATCAAACAGCATCTTTCAGTACTTTTAGCCAACTGGACTTACAGTCTAATATAGTTGAAAAATGGGGAAAATTAGATTAGGACCCCAAGCTTTTTGGTTGAATTCAATGTTAAAGAAGCATTACAAACAATGATGTTGGATCATTGAATTTTATGGTATTCCCCATCTTAGTCTTTGACTGTACTTATGTATAACAAGCCATTATGATTCTCTACCTGTTTAATTTCCTTGTCTCCTTTCAAAGAACTTGGTGCTTTGACTTCAATAAATACACAGTAGAGGTATTGAATATTCTCTGCTGAAAGTACCTATAATATCTGAAAGACCACAAAGGGAATTATTACTATACCTGTTTGTTATGGAAGGAGCTGTGATTCAAAAATAGAAGATTTGCTTCTCAGGATAGTTCTGAGAAGCAGGTTTGATTCATTTTTACAGTTTCTAGTGATACTGCCTCTCTGTCCTGGAAAAGGTGAATTTTATTTATTCCTCAGATTTACCTATAGCTGTCCATCTTATAAAAGGTGACTTTGTCTTATCATGCATGTGGCTGTTTATCGAAATCTCTAGATTTGGATACTAAAGTTGTACTTATCTTTTTGGTGATTTGACTTTATGCAGTTCAAAAGGCATATTCTGAAGATGAGATGCAGTGAACTTGGTAAATGGTTTTAGGCTACTTAGCATCTGGATGAGTGGTGGGTTGGAAATCCCACATGTGTTGTCTCTTATTTGTTTATTTTATTATAAAGCTTACAACAGCAAGCATTCTATAAATAGTATGTCAGCTGCTTAGGCTCACCATGGAGAAAATCTGGAAAATAGATACATTAAACCCAATATCAGGAAGAATTTGACAACAGTTTCTTAAGGAAAGTTAATATTTAAAAATGGAATGAATAATCCAGTGTGATGTTCTGGTGAAGGCCTATATCAGGAAGGCCTTGGTTCAAGTCCAACTTCAAATACAACATTTCTCTGGGTAATTTTGTACTGCTCTTATTCTCAGATCAAAAGATTAGCACAGTGATAACAAAGGATCGGAGGAGAAAGTGCTATTCATGCGATCTTGAATTTCTGAAGGAAAAGTGCAATATAAAACTAACAATGGCCTGAAAGTTAATATCTGCAGGAAAGGCCCGCTTTGAGGATCTCTTGATCTCAGATCCTGTCTTTCTTGTATGTGTAGAAGGATCTTCTCATTAGTCTTATGAGACCCTATTTTTTTGAGCCATTAATTGGGCCCCCAAGCTCTGAATGCTTAGATAATATGCAAAGAGACACAGGTAGTCCTTGACTTATGACCACAATTGAGCCCCAAATTTCTTTTGCCAAGCAAGACAGCTTTTAAGTGAATTGTGCCCCATTTTAGTTGTTAAGTGAATCATTGCAGTTGTTAAGTGAATCATAAAGTCATTAAGTGAATCTGGCTTCCCCCATTGACTTTGCTTGTTGGAAAGGTACAAATGTTAATCACATGACCCCAGGACATGCAACTGTCATAAATACATGCCAGTTGCCAAGTGCCTGAATTTTGATCATGTGACCAAGGTGCAACAGTTGTAAGTGTGAAAACTGATCATGTCACATTTTTTAGTGCTATTGTAACTTTGAATGTTCATTAAACAAATAGTTGTAAGTCGAGGACTATCTGTATCTCCTTTGCAAGGTTTTGATTTTAGTACTTTAATGTTTAGCCTGTGTTTTAAACTCCTTAATGTTTTGGAGTTAGAGTTAGGGTCATTGTTAGCAGCTTTGAGTGTTCAATATACTTACATATAGCACTTATATTCCACTTCACAGTGCTTTACAGCCCCCTCTAAGTGGTTTACAGAGTCAGCATATTGCGCCCAACAATCTGGGTTCTCATTTTACCCACTTCGATCGGATGGAAGGCAGAGTCAGCCTTGAGCCTAGTGAGATTTAAACTGCCAAATTGTAGTCAGCTGGCAGCCAGCAGAAGTAGCCTGCAGTATATGCATTCTAACCACTGCGCCACCAGGGCTCTTAATAAGAGGAGATTTAATTCCCAGGTTAAAAGAACAAGAACAATTAATGGTTATCAGTCTATTCACTGAGAAGAAAATGTAAGGCAAATTATTAAGCACATAAATAAATAAATTCACAATTTGTCACCGAGGGTTTATTAACTTTCTAACTTCCTAAAAAAATCATGCAAAATTCTTCACAGAAGCCAATGAAGAAGTGGAAGTCAGGATGTGATGCCACGATACCTGAATATATTCAACTATTTCTGTTTATGTTTAGGTTCCACATCCTAACCCTTCCAAGACTGTGATAATTTCAGATGCTGTTTTTCTAACACAACACTTCTTCATTTTGTAGTGTCAACAAGTTAGCTTCACTATGTGACAATATTTTCAGGAGGGTTTTTATGAGAAAAAAAAATCTGCTAGGGAGAAAAAGATCCCATGATTATAGAACCAAGATGCTTTTTGATCTAATAAGTACTAGGATCATTGTCTGGAAGCCAACTAATTGCCCTTCAGATTTGAGCCCTTGAGACCATTGGTTTCAACTTGCATAGTTCTAAGTACCACTTATAATCTAAAATATCTGGTGAGCACAAAATGAAAAAAAAAACACCTCTACCTAGACCATGTGCTGCTTCAAACCTCCATAAACACACATTTTCTGCTGAACTTTCTGCAGCATAATGTGCCCTTATATCCCCAAAAGCCACTGAGAAATAATGTTTTTAATTAATGCTGCAAATTTCACATGTGTAGACACTCATTTTGTAGGGGGGGGGGAGTGTTGTTTATTAAGCCATTAGATTGCCTTGCAGTTGTGAAGACAATTGGTGCTGTGACATCCCTAATTGCAGCACAGCAAGGATGCTTGTGAAGCTGAGAAGTGCTGTATCTGGGCTTCCTCTTCTTTCTGAAAATATACTTAGATTTAATTGGAAATAATTAACTCCATCCCAGCACAAGAGAAACAATCTGACA